CCATTGATATGAAGTTGTTTTCAGTGGCGGAACCGGAGTTTGACGGCACCACCGGAGGAGCACCGAAGTCGGGACCCACACCCGACCAAGAAACCTATAAGTATCCTTTTGTCTGTTGTTGTTGTACGCTTTTGTCGTGCCGACAGTGTCGTTCCCTTTGTTCATCCTCAGCCACCCATATAGCATCCCGCACACAGAGCTTAGTCATACAGGCGGGTTAAAGTTAGCCCCGGCAGCTCGGGAGTAGTGCGAGTAGGCTCGTAACCAGCTTGGCTGGACCACACCTCGGGTGCACCCAAAAACATATTTGGTTTTATTGTTTTAAGTAGTTCGACTTTGCTGTTAAATTGTTGTCTTGCGATTTTTGTTTATATCGGCGTTAGTAAGATCAACTTGGTGTCGTTTTTTTCTTCCTTGGCGAATAGTTTTGCTATTGTACGTAGCTAGTGACCCACGCGGTCTACAATAAGCTGGCCGGTCGCTTTGTTAGTTTTTTGTCATCTTCTTTTTGTGCGGTAGTTTGTTTGGACATGTGTATATTTGTTATTCTTATAATTATGAACGATTTGTTATTTTTTATATAGTATTAGTAGGAATATTCAAAGAAAGAGTTTCGTTGTTGGTCGAACACAGCACCAAATCCGAAAAGCAACAACCTGACATTCGGTGTGTCAGGAATTTGGTGAGTCCGTTTCGTTTTGTAATTTTTTTGTTTGTTGCAGTATGTTGTATAGGAGCTTTATGGCGGTAAAAAAAATTGTTCGTCAAGAGGGTAGAGACTGGACTCGAAGTAACCAGTAGTAGTCCTACCGAATTAGTTCGTGTTTTTTTTGTATTGTTCGTTAATTAAAATTTGTCTAATAATTTTTATTTAAATTAAAGATATTTTTTTGGATTTGTGTGACATATTAAATTTTGTATAAAATTTTTGATGTCAACGTAGACAATATATCGGTTTTTTTTAATTTTCTTTTTGTTTTGTGTGGTTAGGCTCTTTTGTTTTTTTCGTGATAGGGTCTTTTGTTGTGGCAGTATAGGACAATGCGGAAGAAACATTAGGGTGACAGATATTTTTTAATTTTGAATAATATTAAAATTTTGTTTTTTAATATATTGTTTTTCTGTGTTTTTTTCTGTTTTTGAGTTAAAATATTTTTTTTTTTTCATTTTAATATGCAGATTAATCTTTTAGCGCAGGATGAGCTCGCGTACGAGATGGTCGGTACGGTCGAGGCCATGCGTAAGTCGCTAACGGCTTCGCGTCTTTTAGAGAAAAGAGGGTCGGTGGACCTCTTTCAGGACTACCCCTACAGTTTCGACGAGGATAAAACGGCGGTTGAATCGAAAATGGAGAAAGTAGAAAAATTAATATAATCAGTTTCGGGTGGAGGAAAGCCATCGCATGGAGCGAAAGCGATGGCGAAAATCGAATGGTGCCTATCGCCAACAGTTCGCGCGCGGCCGGGCAATGACGGCGAGATGAGCAGATGGAGCTGAAGACCAAGTTGTTGCTCAGCACCCCCGATCGTGGAGATACGACGCGTGGTCGAGGAGATAGTCGGCGGCTTGCTTCTTTTCGAGAACCTCTTCAACAACTGGTACCGGAAACCTGTATCTTAAAACTAACGTGTTCAATTTCGCGAAAATCAATACATTACTGCTAAATACCATCTTTCTTTTTGGCCAGTACGACCTTACTAGCAACTTCAGAGCAAGATTCTCGTATAAAGCCTCTCTATTATAGACATCTGGCTAGGATTCTCACGAAATGCAATATGATTATCTCTCGGCACCACGGTTAACTTAACAGGACAACTTTCTTCGACACAACTTGGCTTATAGCTTTCAATTATAGATTTTACTGTTTCTTTATATTTAGGATCTAAGTGTATATCTACGTTGTAGTTTAGTACATTGTAAATTTTATACTCTGATTTGATTATATCAGCTTTGTCTTTTACTAATGAAAATTTTTTAGCCATTAGGATCCAAAACCAGTACAAATTGTTCTAAAAAATCATACTCAATAATTACATTTACGTTTAGTTTGTTATCTGTGACTACCAAAAATGTGTGTTTTGCATTACACCCATCGGCTGTAATACACGTATTTGCTGTAAATTCACCCAAAACATCAGCAGCGTCGTTGCCTAAACCATAAAGTCTAGCGTGACCCTTTTTCAACACGCAGTCACCAAAATTTCCTTCATACACAGTTTTGCGCATAAGAGACAAATCTGCTCCTGTGTATGCCAAGCATGAACAGGTTTGATGATTAATCGTTACTAGTTTCTTACGTTTTTCATTGGAAACAACATTTACAGTTTGTTTTGACATGGTACACTGCTTCGCTATATACCCAGCGCCATTGCATTTAAAACACTTGGTATCTTCCTTACAGTCTACCCTCTTGTTTTGTGTTGAGCCACAATTTAAACAATGCTGTTGTTTGACGTCACAGCTGCTTTTGTCTGCGTTGTTTTTTACTTCATACCTACGACTATTTTCATTACGCTTCAATCAATTCAAATGCTTTTATTAGCTCTTTAAAATTTCGCTCACTGTAAAGTGGGTATTTTAGATCGTGACGTATGCCCACGCCCTCTGCTATATACGTGATAACCGATTCTTCGTCCACATCTGGAGTACATACTCGTGAAAAGTTTCTGTTGCTTGCTTTCGACGTTGTCATAGCTGCTTGTGCACATCAGTGCTGCTATACGTTTTCTCAAATTCGTTTAAAGGCCCGGACACAAAGAATCATAGTTGGCGATAGTGATAGTCCAAAAACAGTGCTGCCGGACCCTTCATTTTTTACCACATATGCATCTGCGTTATCGTTAAAATTGTCGATCCTTTGTTGAATTGGATTGGATATTCCATCATAATAGGGTACTACTTTGACAAAAGCTTCAATCGATACATTACCCGTACTGGTGTCATCCATTTTTAGCATAAACGCTTTCATCAATTCGTCGAAATGATTGTTGCTACACATGGGTGCTGTTTCTTCTCTTTCTTCTATTTTCATTTTATTGTTCTCCTCGCTCTACTCTACACTGCTCTGCTTTTGTTCCACTTTGATATTTTCTGTTTCGGCTTTAATGTTCTATACTTCTTCGAGTTTTTTGCTAGCCCGGCCTTCTGGGCTTTTGTTCTGCTTACTTCTGTTTAGCACTAGCTGCTGATTCCCTCTGCTTATTTTAAACTTCTGTGTTTCTCTGCTTACTGTAATCACTGCTAGTTGCTCTGTTGAGGCATCTAAGTTTTTCTGCGAATCTTTTCTTGTTGCGCCGTTCATTTCCTTCTTACTTCAAGCTATATTTTTTCACTCTTCGGTTGAGCCCCCATGTAAACATTAATGGATAGTTTTTTTTGTGAAGTTTAAATAAAGTTGTAATACATTTGTAAGATATAGGAAATAAGATATAACCTTTATATAAAATAAACGACTGCTGCTGCTAAAAACATTGCCACGACTGGTGCCTTTCACTTCTTTGGTTCGTGCAGGGTTGCTATTTTGTGGCAACCTTACATACATATCTAATAAACGTGTAAAATAATAAGAATCATACTAACAACTTATGTACATAAATGCAAAGCAAATGCAATAAAGCAAGCAATGATCTTTGAAATCTAAAGCTTTTTTAATAACTATTTACATAAATATTTTGGTACATGTGTTCGGACATTTTATAATTACCTATAAAGCTTTTATGTCATTATCGATATATTCTATCATAATTACCAATCTTATAATATATAAGGCATTGTTTGCATAGGCGTATTCACACTGGGCAAAAGCGATGTCCATTGCTGATGAAGTATATGAGCGGGCATATTCTTAGAAGATGAAAAACTAATGTTCTATTACTTTGTACATACGTGTATACTTACTTTACTGGGATAGGCAGCGCTTACGCGATTTTAGCCGAATTTATAACCTCGCGCTATTCATTCTTTTTCTCGCTGCTTGGCAATTGGAGGTACCCTCTCTACTTAGTCTTTCCAACCCAGTGGAGGTCTTCCTCTTCCTCTGCTTTCACCGGAGGGCACTGCATCGAAAGGCAGGGTACAGAAATTCTCACTCTCTGCTCATTCATGTATGCATGTTTCAGGTTTTACAGGCTGTTACTCATACATGTTTGAAAAAGTGTAAAATATTTTGCTTCTGCTAATTAATAAATATATGATTATTTCCTTTGTTGCTGTTCAATGAACAACACTGCAAGTTACATATATGCGAACTTATGATTTTCGTCCCTTCTCATAAGTGAGAAGACCGAAAAAAAATCTTGGTATCAAGCAAATCAAATTTATTATTTTGAAATACAGTATTTATTTTATATATTTATATACATATTAATATATATGGCGTGAAATGTTCCTAAGAAGACATACCCACTTTATCAGCGAAGCCTTACAATAAGCTTGATCTTCATATCCAAAATTTAATGAATTTTCAAAACCTAGTTTTGCAAAGCCTGGCAGCGAGCACTAAACACAAATTAATGAGACTTTGTTAAGCGGAAAGATTGCCCTTTGGCACCAATGTTATGTTTTTTGTATATTGATGTTTGCTTACGGTAGGAGCGTAACTCTAAGCGCTGGCTAATTGCTTCTTGCTATTGGAATTTTTGAATTATGGCCAAAGTGCTTATTGTTTGCATTGTTCCATTTCAAATATCTTGTTATCTGATCTGTTTGCGTTTTCCCATCCATGATCCAATGATGAATAAGCTATTGGCCTCTGCGTCCGACGCCTCCTATGGCATTGGGTCAAGATAAATTTTTGCATCGAGCCTAGTGCTCGACCTGAATACATTTCAATATTCTCCTCCGGCTGCTAAGACACTGTTTTTTGAAAAAAAGTAGAAAAAAACTAACCTGAAGCGAAATCATCACAAAAATATAAATTTCCAAATATGACCTATCTAACGTTTTTAATTATTTCACTTTTGAGCGTTAAGCAACTAAATATAAACACATAACAAACATATAAACGTATTATCCCCCAAACATATTGAGTAACAGGTCCCAAAAACTAAAACGCTCACATACATACATAAATGACCAGTGAGTGAGTGACAAAAAAACTGTTTGCTTCTCTCCTTTTCACGTATGAGATTTAGAAATAAATATACTCGTATATACACATTTAAGTGTATGTGTGATGATGTCAGAAAATTTTTCCGTATTTATATAGGTGGACAGTAAAGTAATAAACTTAAAGTGTCTACTAGGTCCTAAACTCAGTGTGATATTTGATAGCTTGCATTATTGCACTGTTTTGTCGAGATATTGTATCGGGGTAATAGAGCTTCTGAGAGGAGTTTCAGAGTCGGTGTGAGAAATTTTTTGAGAGGACCTTGTTTCCCTATTATATATAGAGGATTTTTCTGAAATTAATGTTGGGCTCAAGTGTTTCGTTGGAATCATTTTCTTCCATTCGGCGCTGCTGATAAATAGAGTCTGAATAGTTCATCTTTATGAACGCTTGACGCTTGACGCGCTTTTTACACAACTTCTATTAGTTTCATACCCATTGCCGTTAATAAAAATTTTTCCTTATGTTAAACTTTCCATTCTGAGTATCAAATTCTGTACAAGAGCCAATTCGAGTAATGAATCAAAACCAAAGGCGCTCACAAACACAACGTTACATATACGCAGCATTGGGCATGAAGGGTTAGACTAAGCGTAAGAAAATTAAATAATAATTACGACCTTTTCGAATAAGTCGATCCTTGGTCCACCTCCTACTATTCTACAAATATATCAAGATGAAAATTAGACAATAAACTGTTAATTTTATTAATCTTAAATATTTAAAACGAGCGATAATTCGTTTAAAATCTGTTTATAATTTTGTTGTACTATATTCATGTCCTTTAAAGTGTGTAATGCTTTTTTTGTAATAAAAATATATTAAACAAAATACATTGTTTATTTTTCAACAGGCAGAAGCCTTAAATTTAGAGCGATGTTGCAGCCGCGCTGCATGTGCTGGCTATTGCAACTTCTCCCGGAGCATACTTCATGTTTCTCTGTCAATATAATGCTGACACTACCTGCAGAACAAATCCGAAGCAAATCAACTTTAACACAGCGAAATATATTATTAGTTTTAATAATTATATTGCTAACAATTCCATCTGCATTTACACAAACAGCAATATCTGGTAAGTCCGAACAATACTATAAATTGAAAATCAAAGGACAGGTGTCTTCTAATATATAATATTTAATATACACGAGAGGCGACATTCGCATAACGTACGAATAAGCCATTGCTTTACATGACTTTAACAAAAGAGGCCTAAATTGTCTAGATACACGAGTTGCAACATTTAAGTTTACAATTAACAACAAATTGATCCGTTATGAAGTTTCACTACCATGCGCCTAACATTTCTCTACGACTTGCGAGAGTAGGTATATTTAGAAGTTTTAAACGATTTGTATTGTAGAGCTTCAGCGGAAATGGCTTAATGCAAAAAGTAAAAATTGTTTTTGAACAGACTCCAAATTATCAGAATTCACCTGATAATTTGGGTTCCATATCAGTGAACCATAATCTAACATTGGCCATATTCTTACATTGGCCTCACCAAAATACTATAGAGTTTCAAAGGAGTCTTTAAAGTCTCTTGACAAAGGCAAAAGCATTTTTAGCTTTTAAGACAGTGCTATTGATATGATGATGGAGGTTGAGCTTAGGGTCCACCATAACTCCCAAATCACCAAAGTTGAAGACTTGCTTTAGACTACAGTTATTAATTATATAGGGAGAAGGTTGGACAAGTCTTCGTTAAAAGCAAATGGTCTTACACTTCTTAAGGTTCAAATGCATATCGTGGAATAATTATATGATATAAAAACTTTTCAACATCATTGGCATATGACAAGATATTTAAACGTTTTAATAACGAAGATATATCTATATATATTTATAAATAATAGAAACAGAATTGTGTAGAGATGACTGCCTTGAGGAACTCCTGATGAGACATTAATAACTTTTGATAAACAGGCCTATTCTGTCGAGGTAACAAAATTTACTTTGGTATTGAAGTTGTTGTTAATATTTCATATTCTGAGTTCACTGTCACCCTGTAAGTTTTGTTACCAGCGAAATGGGAGATGACAACAATATCTGATATTTGATTTTGTGTTGATAGTTTGAGAAAAAATAAAACGGGTAGGCATTATTTAGACCTGAAATTCATTCATTGAAGATGAAGAAAAAAGTGTAATAAGGCGTATGCTTAAAAGTTTCCGAGAAGAAAATTGCTCTTTAATTTGGAAGATTGCGTTTTCAATCAGTTTTTTTTGTTGCTTCGATGTGAATAATTTTCTTTTTTACTTTACCAACTGGCAAATGTAATTTGACAAGGACAAAAAAAGCAGTGCCGCCAAAGTTTTTTCAAACATTGTAACCAGTTCGACAGAATACTAAATACAATTTCGGGTGTTATAAAAAAGTAACAAAATTTATTTTGCCGGTAACAGTGAGATTGGGCCCGAAAGCGTCTTTAAATGTTACACGTTGTATTCTATTGCACAGATACGAGCTTGGTTGAAAGCTCAGAAGAACTAGTTTATGGATTGAATTGAAAAATAGTAGGTGAGTTAATTATTCTTGTTGAACGTAAGTAATGCTGTAAACATAAATGACAATCTGAACGTAAATTTCGATATACCCAGCTTTGTTGGTTCCACGCTGATTGCTTCCTGTACTTCAGCGTCCTCAAAACATTTTTGTGAGTTTGACGAGCGTCTATCGTCTGGTAGTGGGGTTGGGCTACCAACAAAATTTTAACAACAACACGCATTTCGACAACAAGACCCTGCCAGCGGAAGCAAGACGTGAAGAATGAAGGGTTTTTTAGAGTTTGAAAGCTTTACGCAGAAAGATTTAGTCCAAAGTAGCACTTTTTGAAAAGAGCAGTTCTGCATTGGATTTCCAGTTTGGATTTTTTGAGACTGGTTCCAGGATAGTGGAAATTATCAACAATTTCAAAGCTATGACTGTCAACAGTGATGTGGCAGCCGATATGCGAGTGCGCTGACTTTTGTTTTATAACAGAAGATATTTAATCTTGTCCTCGTTTACTGCCAGATCGATTCGCTTTGTTTTCTTATCAGTTCATAAAATTAGCATTACGCCCAAATTTTATCGAACCGACGTTTCCGTATGAATCACAATATTTGCTTTTGGATATTAAATCACTGAGCCTTTTCTCGCTTTCATTTAAATATTGTAAGTTAATCAGTTCACTTTTCTAGCCTCTTAGAAGAATACACTTCAATGTTTAAGGCGAGTCACCCTATTACCCCCAACAGTTACAACCCTAATGGAATTAAATAGCTGTGACTAACTTGTCAAGAAGTTCATAAATATATAATTATTTGAAATAACCTTATGTATTCTTTGCTTAAAGTCTGCAAGACCTTATTATTGAGTTGAGTGAAATGATTAATCAATTTTGACGAAGCCTTTGGTGTTTCGACAGCGTCAGCGAAAGCGGCCGTAAAAGAATTCAGATGTAGCTATTTCTTCCTATCGATTGCTGATTTGAAATAGACGAAAAGGTGATACGTTTTAAGGGTCTTTTTCAAGATTTGGCACATAATTAAAGTCTGGTCGATGGTAAATTTTTCTGGTTTATAGTCGCACTTACGCGCTAATTTGCGAATATTGAATACCCAGAGAAAAAAATCTGTTATATTAACTAGATGACAGATTGTAGCAACATATTTAGGTCAGTTCCAAACGAATTACCTGTTAATTTAACAGATGATGTTCTGTTGATTAAAATTTCAATATTTTTACTGTAAAATCAACAAGCCGTAGGTTAAAATATTTTTTTTTAGCCGTTGTTTCAACAGAATTTTTGTTACTTAAAAACAGTTGTGAAAGTTGCTGTGCCACATATTTCTGTCTGTTCGCGGCTGTTGTTTTAATATAAGATTATTAATAGCAAACGCGAAAGTTGTTGTGCTATTCATTTCCGCTTTAATAACATACGCGGGTTATGTTGTCACACATTTCTGTTATTAATAACAAGCGTGATTGTTATTAAATCTGTTAATACAACTTAAAAATTCGTTTTTCTTTCTGTACTGAAAATAAAAAATAATAAATGAAATAAAATTATAGCATGATATTTATTTTATTTCATTTAAAGGTGCAATATATGTATATTAATTTGTGTTTTTAGAACATAATTAATCAAGAAAAAAAAACGGAAAGAAAATAAAATTTTTACATCAAAGCTGTAGATTCTCGGATGACTTGTAAGGTAAGCATTTTTTATAAACGCTTCCTTTGAATTTCACTGAGTAAGATAAGGTAAAAAATCTCTCTACCTTTAAAAAGCATGATTTCAAGAAACTTTTTCTACGCTAAATTGTGTTTTTACTGTATTATTTTACACAAAAGTATTTGATTTATTAAAATGATATAAAAGAACTGATAAGAAGTTTTAATCATTAATGAATAAGAAATATTCTTAGGAGAATAAATTATTGTTTCTTTATGTTATTGTTGCACCATAGTAAACTAAGAAATAATGGTTTTGTTTAAGAAATCCAAATTTCGTTATTGGTATCGTTTCTGGTAGAAGTTTGATATCATTTTCGGTGAAAGGCGTATACTATAACAAATGTCAATGATCTAACTTAGGCAGGAAATGTCAAAAGTTCGGATTTCGCTTGTAAAGATTTTTAAAATTGATTTAAGAAGACAGGAAATATAAGGAAAATAATTTTTATTATAAAGTACAAACGTGATTGAATTATTTCATACCGACAAAGCCAAATGTTTTTTTTTTCACAACTAAGTTGTCAATTAAAACCAGTCTTAAGTAAAAAAAGAGGATCGAATTGAATAAGACCATATAAGGCAGAACTACCTCCTAAATCTTTCAAATAACTAGATTTAATAAATTCCAAATTGAATAAGAAATATTGAGATATAGTTAGAAGATAATAATAGAAACCATATGTACATATGTAAATATATTTATAACTGGCGCTTTGTACCCGCTGAAGCGGTTATTGTCCGAGCTCCTCCTCCAACTTGTGGAACGCGCCTTGATGTTTTTCTAATAAATGGAACGACTTAGAACGTCTAACGTCATGTCATAAATTCATTCTGAGGGTTTGACATTCCTTGCCATGGTGCGACCGCTTTTCGAAAAATTAACTCATTTTTTTATTTAAATTAATTTTGTATAGCTTTGGATGTTGTTCGTACCAGGATTTGAACCCTGGCAGTACGCAATGCTAACCACTCGGCTACCGCGGCCGCCAAAAAAAGACCTCATACTGAATCTTTTTTTGTGAGACTATCTCAAAAGGTTATTTGTTTTTGCGTCTTGATGTTTTTCCAACAAATGGAGGGACATACAGCTTATACTAAGACGCCTCCGACCGGCTAATGTTTTTAATGAATAACCTTTATTTTATCACATACTGAGAGGTAGACATTCCCTGGCGAGAGGCAAAAGAAATTACAAAATTTGCCGTCTATTAATGGCAAAAAAAATTTTGTTCTTTTCAAATACATTTGTATTTAACATTGTTTGGATATAAGACATAAAAATCGCAGTTAATTTTTAATTTGGAAAAGATTATATTAGTTGTGATCCGAGATCGTTATGTTTGTGTAATGCTACTCGGTTGCTTTGCAGTGTATCCAACTCTTAGGTCAGCCTCTTTCCTCTCCGATTGTTAAACTAGCGATTATACAGCTTACCACATAGTCGCTTCGTATTTCCTCTACGTCCAAACTATGTCGACTAAAAGGTAATTGAATTAGAATCAATCAATCAATAAAATTAGTGCCACGTAAAATTGACTACTGTGTGCTCCCCATTTCAAATATTACATATTATGCATGAAATCGCATTCAACTCACTCAAAGAAAGCTTAGTTTGGATGCCAAAAGTGTGAGTATCTTATCATCTTCAAAATATTTTGATTGTCAACCTAAGTATATAATAAAGTTATATATAAAAAGTCAGTAAACCTTGTTGAAGTATACTAAAGTTAAATGAATCTTGTTATGTCGTGTCGCACTATTATTATCGTAATATCCGTATCTTCACCAAACTATATATGTACATTTAAAATTGAGAAAAAATTATTTATATTAGTTTTTGAAATATCTAAATAT